ACAAGAACTCGCACTTCCTTTTTCAGATATTTCCCTAACTACTGCAAATATATACATAAATAGAAAGCAAAACATGTGCCCTTTCAGATGACACCTAGATTGCAAGATTGAGATAATTTTTAGACCGTTTATGCTCGAATAAACATTCTCTGTTCGAGTACACGACCGGTATACCGCAAAGTCAGAGTTACGCAAAAATATAAAGCAGTCAGACAAGAACTCGCACTTCCTTTTGCAGATATTTCCCAAACTACTGAAAATATGGATATGAAACTTAATGACGGGAATCTATGGAGTCCCCATAATGACGGTAGCCTATTGAGTGATGGAGGAATATTCATTCTCACCCTTATCAATTTGGAACCCCATAATGACGCTAATCTATTCTGGAATATATGTATCTATATTCCCCTGCTTATACACTGGAGTAGCTAAAATGACGGTAATCCACGGAGTCATGCTTTTTTCTTCATTCTCATCCTGATAAATTTGGGACCCCACAATGACGGTAATGTATGGAGTCCCCATAATGACGGTAATCTATGGAGTCCAAACAATGATAGTAATCTATGGACTGATGCACTCGTATTCATTCTCAACCTTACAAATTTGGTAAACTAGAATGAAGATAATGTATGGAGTCCCCATAATGACGGTAATCTATGGAGTCCCCATAATGAAGGTAATCTATGGAGTGATGTACTGTATGTATTTACATTACCATGCTTATACACTGGAGTCCCCATAATTACGGGAATCTATGGAGTCTCAATAATGACGGTAGTCTGTGGAGTGGTGGTCTTTTTTTCTATTTCATCCTTATAAATTTGGGACCCCATAGTGACGGTAATCTATGGAGTGATGCAGGTATCTTCATTCTCATCGTTCCAAATTTGGGACCCCGTTATAAGGGTCATCTATGGAACAATCCATGTACAGGGTATCTACATTCCCTTGCCAAAGAACAGAAGACCCTAGAATGACAGCAATCTAGGGAGTGAGGGAGTGATGTATTTATTTGCACTAACATTCTAATACACTGGAGTACCTGTAGTGAGGGTAATCTATGGAGTCCCTATATGGATGGTAATCTAAGGAGTAATGAATGTATCTATATTACCTTGTTTATGAACTAAAGTCCATATAATGACGGTAATCTGTGGAATGATGCAGGTATCTTCATTAACATCCTGATAAATTTGGGACCCCAAAATGACGGTAATCCACGGAGCAATGTATGTATCTAATACTCCCTTGCTGATAATTGGAGTCCCCATAATTAAGTTTATCTATGGATCCCCCATATTGATGGTAATCTATGGAGTCTTGCAGGTATCTTCATTCTCATCCTTGTAAATTTCGGACCCCATAATGTTTAAGTTAAGGATAGGGCTTCAAAGACTCTGTATCTGTCTAACACAATCGTCAAATTTCTACATACCTGCACAATTTGAGTGTTGGACTATTGACGAATTGATTTCTTGGAAAAATTTAGATTTGTTGAGCTTCAGTTATGTTGGAATTCTTAGGGGAATACATTAGAAGCAGCAAATGGGCCAGGGAGAAATATGTACAACTTTGTTTTTCAAGCTAGGGCTAAAAAGGGACTCCATATCTGTAAAACTAAATCGCGAAATTTCCAAATACCTCCACAATTTGTGTCTTGGACTATTCAGGAATTGATTTCTTGAAAACTTAAAATTTGTGGAGCTTCAGTTATGTTGGAATTCATAGAGGAATACGTCGTATTGCAGCAAATGAGAAAGGGAGAAATATGTACGATTTTTTAAAGTTAAGGGTAGGGCTATAAAAAGACTCCATATCTGTCTAACTAAATCAACATATTTCAAACTCCTTGTACGAATTAAGCTTTAGATATTTAGGTATTTTGGGAGCTGCAGTTATGTTGGAATTCTTAGGAAAAACATCGGTTGGCAGCAATTGAGATATGAAATCGTACATATAAAATATGTACGATTTTCTTTTTAAAGTGAAGGGTAGGGCTACAAAAAGACTCAATATCTGTACAACTAAATCGCCAAGTCTCGGACATTTGCGGAATTGCTGTTTTGAAAAAAATTAGAATTTTGGAGCTTCAGTTATGTTGGAATTCATTGGGGAAGTCATCGTAACGCACCGAATGTGGTAGGCGCAAAATAACATGTACACATTGCAAAAGTTGAGGGTAGGGCTTCGAAAAGACTAATAAATAGCCAAATTTCTAAATACCTGCACGATTTCAGTCTTGGGCTATTAAGGAATTGATTTCTTGAATTATTTTGAGTTTTCGAGCTTTAGTTATATGTTGGAATTCAGACGGGAAAACATCAGAATAAAGAAACTGCGGTACGAATTTAAAAGTTAAGGATAGGGCGACTCAATAAACGTTTTAACTAAATAGCCAGATTTCTAAAATCTGCACAGTTTGAGTCTTGGAATATTGAGGTATGCATTTCTTCAAAAATTTAGATTCTTGGAGCTTTAGTTATGTTGGGATTCAGACGGAAAAACATCGGAAAGAAGGGAATGAAACAGGCTTAAATATATACGAATTTCTAACGTTAAGGCAGAGGAAACAAAAGACTCAGTATCTGTCGAAATAAATCGCTAAATTTGTAAATACCTGCGCTATTTGAGTCTTGGACTATTATGTGCAATTAATTGAGAAGGATTTCAATGCAGCAAATAAGATGAGTGGAAAAAGTACGAAGTTGAGAATTTAAGGGTGGAGCAGCAAAATGAATAAATACCTAAATAATTAAATGACCTAAAATTAAAAGTCCTAAATAATAGCACAATGGAACAAATTGAACCAAAAGAAACAAGCAGTGGAACGAGAACATTTTCCTAACTTCTTTTCATTTTCCTGAAACTTTAAATACGTCAACAAATGGAGAACAC